AGGGTCAAGTTTCAAAACAGCCTAATGTTAGAGAACAGCACTTACAATCCCTAGTTGAAAATCAAAGCTGATGATTTTGAAGAAATGTTCAAGTCACCAGTCCTCTCGACCACGCTTGTTTGGTGGAGGCGTCTCATCCGGATCCTGCAAAGTGGTCAATTGGTAGTTGGCTTTGATAGTACATGTGATGAATGAAATCCTGGAAAACTGCCCAGTTAGCTGTCCCAATCTTAGATTGGTTGGACACCTAAGTTGAATAAGTACATTAGACTCACTGCGATGGTGACTTTCAAGCCGGGCCTTGGGTCCTTTCTCTCTTTTTTTCTTTCCATTTCCTTTGCCTTTGTTATCGTCATTCTCCCTTGGCTCCTTGTCAGGTTTCTTAGTCGTCTCCTCCGCCTCTTTTGCAGATCCAGGCTTCTCCTCTGTCTTGCCTTCTGTCGCCTCTTGCTCATTCTCAGGTCCAGGTTCTTTGCCTTTTGTCTTTCCATCAGGCCCTTTGCGCTTCTTTCCTCCTCTTCCGCTTCCTTTGGTGGTGCTTCGGCGGCGAGGTTTTGCATCATTGTCATCATCTTCGAGTGCTCTTTCAACTCTGAGCTCTTGATCATCCTTGTCCAGCGCATTTTCCATGGAAAGTTCATCTTGCTCTTCCTCCTTCTTGTCCTCTTTGCTTTCCTCTTTGCTTTCCTCTTTCCCTTTCTCAGTCTTTGGTGGCCTTCCTCTTTTCTTCGGTTCAGCTTCCTTCGCTTGCAGCTGTGCTTTCCTTTTTGCTCTGATTTCCCTTTGATCCTGAAGAAGTTGAGAAGCTCTTTCTGTCTTGGGACTGTCTGCGCTATCTCGAAGATCTTCAGGAAGTTTCGGGAGCTCAGGATTCAAGGCCATTGTGTCCTTGTAGGTTCCTTTTGCACCCTGTCCATGTGTGTCATCGTCGCTGTTTGCCTCCAGATCCTCTGTGTTTGGTCTTTCAGCCTCCTTCTGGCCAGACAAAAAGCAAAGTACTTCAGACTTAAACTGTTGGTGTTCAGGGGAGTCACCGAGCATTTTCAGGGCGTCGTAGAGCTGAAAAGTCAACCCAGTTGCCACTGCCATTGCCCCACCATCATCCTCAACGGCTTTCTTTTTTCGTTCCCATTCCTTGGCCGTTTCCTCCTGCCCCTTCTTTCGGTGAATCCTCTCCTCTTCAGCCTTCTTTGCATCCTTTGCCTTCTTTTTCTCCTCTTCAGCCTCTGCTATCTTCTTCGCATCTTCAGCTTCTGTCTTTCCTCCTGTGCCTTCTTGGCATCCTCTGCTTTCTTTCGCTCCTCTTCAGCCTCTGCTGTCTTCTTCGCATCCTTTGCCTTCTTTCTCTCCTCTTTGGCCTTCTTTGCATCCTCTGCCTTCTCTCTGTTCTCCTCAGCCTCAGCTGCCTTCTTCGCGTCTTCTGCTTTCTGTCTTTCCTCCTCTGCCTTCTTGGCATCCTCTGCTTTCTTTCGCTCTTCTTCAGCCTCAGCTGCCTTCTTCGCGTCTTCTGCTTTCTGTCTTTCCTCCTCTGCCTTCTTGGCATCCTCTGCTTTCTTTCGCTCCTCTTCAGCCTCTGCTGCCTTCTTCGCATCCTCTGCCTTCTTTCTCTCCTCCTTTGCCTTCTTTGCATCCTCTGCCTTCTTTCTGTTCTCCTCAGCCTCAGCTGCCTTCTTCGCGTCTTCTGCTTTCTGTCTTTCCTCCTCTGCCTTCTTGGCATCCTCTGCTTTCTTTCGCTCTTCTTCAGCCTCAGCTGCCTTCTTCGCGTCTTCTGCTTTCTGTCTTTCCTCCTCTGCCTTCTTGGCATCCTCTGCTTTCTTTCGCTCCTCTTCAGCCTCCTTCGAATCCTCTGCTTTCTTTGGAACCTCCATCACTTCATCATCGGTCACACTCTCTTCCTCTTCTTCTTCTTCTACTAGGACCTCTTGCTCCTCATCTTCTTCTTTGTCTTTTGATTTTTGGGCTTCTTCCTGAGCCAGGGGAACCAAGGACAAGGAGCAGAGATAAACTTTGAATATCATTGCAGCAGGTACGGTTACACTTTTTATATCTTTTTATTGTAGTATGCTTTCAGTGGGAATCACTGGACAAAAATCGTCAGAAACAGCAGACTCAGAATCAGCCTGGGTCAATGGTCTTCGGATTGATTTTGTCTTTCTTGCAATACCTGCTTCCTGCGTGCATGCAGGTGGCAATGCTTCCCCCATTCCGTGATTGACTTCTCCGAGTCCTTGAAGATCAGCGAAAGGAGGCTCTTGAGTTTCTGCATGTTGCTCCCGGGTTTCCTGGAGTGGGGCTGTTGGAGATGGCTATGAGAAAAACTAGAGTAAGGAAACAACCAGAGACAGTTACTTTAGGCCTTGCTGTTGGTGTCCGGGAAAAGTTGGCCAACACTTTTGCTGCCATCAGTCTGTGTAGACGGGACTCTTCTAAAGCCCAATCCTGGCCAAGGTTTTCATATACTGATTTTTGGATTCAGCCAGATTAATCTGGAACTGATTGATCAATAATTGATTGAGCCCTAAGTTCTGAAACATTCTGGAATTGATCATGCCTCCAAGTCCTTGGATTCAGCAAGGCAATGAACTTCCCCGACATAGTACAACGCCTCCTACCCAGGGTGACCGATAGTGATCAGGGGGTTGAGTGCATGCATATTACTTCTTGGGGTCCTTAGCCTCCAGCTCTGTGGGAGGGTCCACGGCAAACGTTGGAAGCCAAGCCATCATGAACTCTGTGTTTCGAGGTTGTTGTACCTGGCTAGATTGCAACAAAAGTGACTGATCCCCTTGTCAACATGGATAAATTTGCCGGGCACACGCAATCCTCATTGATACCCTTTTTTCCAACATTCACAAAGGTGAATGTCACTGCTGGTACCTGGTGAAGAGTGGGGCATAAAACCACAATTAAATAATGCGGGAATGTCTCAAAATAGAGGATCCTGAAACTTCATTTCTTTAAAATAAAAAATGAAGTTTTGGAATCCCCTATTTTGAGACATTCCCATGTTGGATTTGAATGGATTGGATCTGAAAAAACAACATCACCCTTATCTATAAGCTAAGTGTAAGTTGCTTGAGAAGACACTGGCCGGCCTTCCCCTCCGAAAGTTGGCGCTCCACCTTTCCAACTGGCATCCCATCTTTCCTGGCCAGGTCCAAGTACCTGGATTTGCGGAAGTCGTCTTCCAGTTGCTCATTGTAGAAGTCCTGAATGCAGGGGACCACTTCTGCGGGCACATACATAATATTATATATATACCCTGAACGTCAAATTTGCCATAGTTATATAACTTGGTACTGGTGTGATGCTATACTAAGTTTTCGAAAAGATTGTGAATCTGACTTGGTTGTAAGGTTTCCCACGATTCAACACATAGCAAGTGGCCATCCTTGAGCAATGCAAGCCGAGTGGGATCAGGCTTTGATGCAGGCATGGCGAAAACAAAAAATGGTTCAGCGCAGTTTCAAGTTGAAAACGTGAATGTGCCAGTGGAATGTCCAGGCTCAAATGAGCCATATGATGAAAAAGTCTCACACGCTTTCAGTAAAACCACTGTATCAAATATATCATATATTATATCCATCCATTACAAGGTCAGCTTGTTTGAGCCATGGAAATTGCAGATCTCTGGTTTGAAGAAAAACTGATTTCCAAATATGGGTCAAAGTTCATATCCCCAGCATGGAAGATTAATCTATAAAAATATTATGAACTATTGTTAATTACCATGCTTTGACCCATACCTGTTGACACCCTAGCAAGCAGAGGGGGCAGCGTACCACTCTCATCATCGCGATACCTCTTGAGTCCTCAGAGAAAGGAGCTGGCTACCAGAGGAAAAAATGGAGATCCTCTGTTGCCAGCATGGGCTAAGGGTAAGGCTGTTGGCAAGGGCTCTCTTCATCCATGAGGTGTTTCTTGAGCCCAGATGGGCTCAGGTGGACATATCTGGCATCCCCATATCAGCTTTCCAGACATACGAAGTTCTACTAAGTAAAACTTAGCATCACACCAATACCAAGTTAAACTTGGCATTTGACGTTCAGGGTATATATATATATATATTAGCAATAGCAAATATGATTCTATTTAAAAAATCTATATGAGATCTTCTCTAAATTCCTTTTCCCGGATTCGGACGAAACTCACCTTCACTGTGTATTTACAGTATTTACAGGACTCCGCCTTTGAAGTTCAAGTGTCCCAACAGACCTTAAACATGAGTGAAGAAAGTTGTGAATGATTGGTTTGCATACTCCGCCCTTGCAAACGTAGCGCACGACTCTTCTTGATCGAGCTGCTGGAGCTACTGGAAACACGGCTCTTATCATACCCTCCATGGTTCCTTTGTTTGGTCTAACTGACTCCATGGCCCATCTCGCAGTTGCTGCTACCAGCTGGAAGCAACAGTGCTCTTGCGTTTTCAAGTACGGTGAGTTCACCCACGGGCAACTGCGTGTTCTTGGAGCAATTATCTAGCACTGATCTACCGCCAGAACTACGTTTAGCCTAGCCATTAAATGCCATTAAAACTTGAACGCATATCTTCACAAGTCACGTTTGGTGATGCTGGCCAAAAAGAAGGTGAAGCGGCAATGCAGCTCAGAGAGATTTATGCAAAGATATGCAAAGTAAGGCTACTGTGGAGTTGCCTAAGCAGGACTGGGAACAACAGGTGCGAGAAAGCAAGAGGGAAAAAAAGCATCGGGCCGGACTTTGTTTCACTTGAATGGCTATGTAAAGGCATCTAGCGCTAAGCTGCAGGAAAGCGATTTCGCTGCATATCTACAGGACTCCGCCTTCCAACAAAATCTAAAATACATCCCTGCCCAAGTATTTATGGCCTTCGGATTTAAAAGTTCCTTATAAGCATTTTAGAGCGGATCTCATATAAGGTTCCCATAATGGGATGGATGAACATACCCCATATACATCCATACACGATGTTTAGCCCATGGCACGTCTGGATGACATGGTCAGCTCCTGTGTTTCCACACAGTTCTTCTGCCTTCTCAGGCGCCTCAAATCAGCTGACTGGAAAAGGGTGCTGATCAGATTTTTTATTGGGAACATAATGGGAATAGACCAAACACATCCTAACGCTATGATATTCCGGTTCGTTCAAAAATCGGAGATTCACCTGGGGACAATGAGGGTTTTAATCATGCAATTTTGGGGTGCTCTACTTTCAGAATCTTTCAGAGAAACCAAAATATATGTACATGAAGCGTAACAGCAGAAGTTGCTTTACCGGTTCTTCTTGTTTACTGAGAAACAGATTTTTCACTCCCTCACTAATCACCAGTGGCTTCCCGCCTCCGATTCTTCAAGCTGACGCCTTAGGACAAGATATAGCATCACGACAACATCAAACATATATACCTGGTTGGTGGTTTTAACCATCTTGAAAAATATAAGTCAATGGGAAGGATTATCCCATATATTGTGGAAAATAAGAAAATGTTCCAAACCACCAACCAGATACAGAATCGTTAAACATACTTTGATTGCCGGTATAAGAGAGAAAACCGCAAAGATCTGCCCTGAAATACCTGAGATCTTCAACTCTGCATGACTGATTTCTTCCCTGCTATGTATCTCTATGGCCTGAACACAAGGCCAAGAATAAACGGCCAATTTTATTGATAGAGAAATTGTGAAGCACTCGAAAAGGGATCAGGGAGCAAACTATATAATTTGTGAAGCTATTGCCGAAAGCGGTCTGATTGAATTTTGAGCTTTTGACTTTACATAGTATGAAAAAGCAGGAACTCCAAGTTCCACAACTGTTAAAATCAAGCGACTCAACTACTCAACTTAGATTGTCATTTGAGAAAGCAGAAACCACAAGGCTAAAACTAAAAAACCCACACCTGCTTTCAGCCAGAATTCCTATTAGAACATGTCGTGAATCGTCGAACCGTCAGTATTTTATAGTTTCTCAAGCAGAATTTCAAATTATGCCCAGTGCTTCAATGGATGTGATTCTTCCAGGCACCAAGAGGGATCCAACTTCCAACTTATCAAACACAGTTGGCGCTAACCATCAGAAACTCACAGCAACCAAAAATCACCTCTTTGCATCACGCCAAGCGTTGCATCGCGCCGAAAAAAAAAGTCTTTGCCAAGCGGCAACTTTTCTCGCAATTCCATCTGTCGTTGAAGTTGCTCATTGAGCTTCCACCGGAGCTGAGTTTGGCAGGTCCATCAGGTCAGCTGCAACCAAAAAAAACCGTCAATGGATTGGTTTTGCTGGGAAACATCTTAACCGGAAACCATAGATTTTCCCATGAAATATGGGGTTGTCCGGTTAAAATTGTCCCCTAAACCAATCCATTGATACAATACAGATATCTAATAGCTATATCTCTCAGCACAGATACATCAACACGATCTTCGGCTAGGTCATGTAGTGCACAATCCTTGTTACCCTGGTGAATCCCATAGCTGGTACCCTGGGATGTTCACGACCCCTACGGAATGATAGTGGCACTACAAGATCGACACGTTGCAATCCGTTGCTAGGCCGCTGCACTGCTGGTTGGCTGTCCGGTGGAGGAGAGGGTCCTGGAAAGCGCCAGGTTTGACAGGTTTTTCCATGGTTTTTCCAAGTTTTTTTAGAAAATGGTTGACTCTGGTTGTGTATGTTTAAGAATAGATGATATAAATGTCCCTTAATCATTCTGGGTTCCGAGCCGCACAAAAAATGGTCAACTGGGCATCCCAAAAAAAAACTCCTCCATTTGGCAGTGGCTTCAAGGGCCCACCACCTGTTGCTACAAGTCAGGATGGAGATTCTATGTGTTTCCTGATGTTTTCTGTATCTCTATCACCTGGTCTGTGACCCCAAAACCTCTTTAACCAATCCACCGAAGGTGTGCAACACGATTCACCATGGGCTCTGTGATGTTGCGGACATCTCTTCTCTGCGTGAACCCATGTCCATATGAGTAGCTGGAAGGACTGCAAGAAGAGCACCCCAAAAGATGAACATGCGAACACATGCAAATCTAATCACTGTCTCTAGCTGAAAGTCAAGACTCTATGATCTATCATATTCCATATATAGTGCTATGCACACGTAAGGTAAGGTCTTCCAAATATATAGATATAACTACTATGATGTAACTTGATAGAACCAGATCCGGTCTTGCTCGTCAAAGAGCAAAACTGGTAGCACCAATACTGACATGTCGAAGCAAGGTTTGTACCCGACCGAGTTTTAAAGTATTTGAAGACGTGCTGCACGTCTCTGGATGCTCCATTTCTTGAGACTTGAAGTTGCAAGATGTTGCAAGATGTTGCAAGATGTTGCAAGATGTTGCAAGATGTTGCAAGATGTTGCAAGATGTTGCAAGTACCGAATGTTTGGTGTGATTTTTATCTGGCTTCTTTCTGTGTGTGTGAGAGAGAGGCCACCTACGCATGGTCCTAGTACTTCCTAGGATTACCATGGATTACCAACAGGTTCTTTCCCAGACCTCGGAAATTCCAGGATGGCACTGGTCTTTTGTCGATCCCTCCACGGCGTCTCCTTTCCTAAGGGCAGGAACTTGCTCTGACGTTCTCATCTTACTGGTGCTAAACGCAGGGAATGGATGGGTTGCTGGGGGTTGCTGGGATGATAAAAATGATAGTTAGCCAGTGGATCATTCCCGAAAATTCCCATCGTTTAGCCTGTTACTAAGCACCAGTAAGTCATTGTACCCTCTGGTAATTCAACATAGCTATTGAAAATGGCCATAGAAATAGTGGATTTTCCCATTAAAAATGGTGATTTTCAGTAGCTACGTTAAATTACCAGAGGGTAAATGAAAAAAAACCTGGTGGTTTTTGTTTCACGCCGAGACGCTGCTGAGCGAGCACGTTCCACGGCCGCGTACCAATGCCCAGCATCCAGGCCATGAATCTCGTGGATGGGCCGCCTGCGCAGTCAGCATCCAACGAAGTCAGTGGAGATAGAGAAATTACTTTGCTTCGAGTGATCCCCACCATGACATTTCAAAACAGCTTGTTGACACCACTTTTGTCTGAAGCTTTTGTCACGGGACTTTTGCCCAACTAACTATCCCAATCATTTGTTTCACCTGGCAGGTCATTGTGCATGTCAGTCTGTCAAACAGGATATAAACATGTCAGTGGGCCATGTGAAGTAAACTCCAGAGCTCGCAACAGGTTTGCTTAAACATGACCAAACAGGCCAGTGGACCACCTGAGCATTGCCCCGGTCACTCTACCACACACGCGCGAGTTTGCAAGTAATATATAACATACTTGTCTGACATTCTTTCTAACTTTCTTCTGCACATTCTTTGTCCGATATCTTCCTACATGAGGTCCGGCAGGGAACACTTGGCGTGGATACTCGCGGTTGAGGTCCGGCAGGGAACACTGGGCGTGGATGGTCGTGGTTGAGGTCCGGCAGGGAACACTGGGCGGGGATGGTCGTGGTTGAGGTCCGGCAGGGAACACTGGGCGGGGATGGTCGTGGTTGAGGTCCGACAGAGAACACTGTGCGTCGAGGGTCGTGGTTGAGGTCCGACAGAGAACACTGTGTGTCGAGGGTCGCGGTTGAGCAGGAGGAGGAGGAGAGGAGAGGAGGAGAGGAGCAGGCAACTGACATAAAATCTAACAACCCTCACCTGGCAGGTGGGGAAAAACTCAAAGATGAAGGAATTTTCACCATGAATTAACCATAGATTTCCATAGATGTTGGCTTTTCTGTGACGAAGGAATTTTCTGACTTCTGAAATACTGCGTGTGATGAACAGCATACATGAGCCTCATGTGCCTGTGAGATGAATATGATTCCTTCAGTTGTCCTGGATTGTCCTAGTGACCGTCAGTTGTGGTTAACACGAGTGCTGCTGGCTCCAGTGATTCCAATGTCGCTGTGCCTCATTGACTTCAGAATGGCTTGCAGTTGCGGTCTGGGTTTGCCGGTTTCTCTCCCAAGGATTTCGCAGGAGACATCATAGCGCTTTGACATCCTGAGATCGCCAGATCAACTCGCCTTTCACCAGAGGATTCTGAAAACGCCTAAGCAACACCTCAAAAAATCATCCAACCACCGGAACAAGAAAAACAATGATAGACCTATGGATCTAAAAATCTACAGTACAACTTGTGTGTTTGCTCATTCTATGCATCATTCTGATTTCTTACTTTGAAGGTGCAGAATTTGCAACGCAGTCCAGGTTGCTTGGCAACGTGGGACACGCGTGACCAGTGCCTAAACTATCATTCCCAAATCTACTGGTTGGGATAAGGAGATATGTAGAAGAAAATGACCTCACATCACCCCATATACAACCCCATGCAATAAACAATCAGATAATCCCATCAAACATCAATATCACCCCATTTGGGGCCAAAAAAAAACTGTACTGGTTGGTGGTGCAATAACCATCTTGAAAAATAATAGAGTTCGTCAATGGGTTTCGGATGACATCCCATTGCAATGAAATGGAAAATAACAAATGTTCCAAACCACCAACCAGCTATAGTTAGTGGGATTATAAGCCATTATAAGCCATTATAAGCCATATAACCCATATAATCCTAATAAATCTTCACCAAGCAGTGACAGAATCACCAAAGGCTCGGAGCACAGGAGCTTCGCTGCTGCGCGACCTTGTTGTCCTTACGCTCCAGCAATGGCCTTGCAGAAAAAACCAAGGGGGGGGTAAACCTGGGACATGCCCTGGGGACGTTCGCGGATTGAAAAGAGGGAAAATGACCATTAATTTTATGGTAACATTTAATAGGATATATATCATATTAATGGATTATATGTATATTAATTAACCAACAATCTGATAATTATATATATATCATATTAATGGATATTTTTCCCGAATGCGTAGCAAGGGTTCCCGTTTCACTCTGGGGGTCTGGGGGCTGAGGGTGTGTTCGCTCGACGTTGCGTTTGTGGTCGCAACCGTTCGCAACCGTCCGCAACCGTTCGCAACCGTTCGCAACCGTTCGCAACCGTTCGCGTGAGGACCGTATGGCCGTGCCTATGGGAAGTTTTACAGAGGTAGTCCTTTTTGGAGGTTTCAGACGTCTGGTTGCTTCGTTTCGCGTGGCAGGCGTGGCACTTCGTGACATTCAGACGTGTTTTGCAACGTGTTGACAATCGTTTTGCGTGGCAGGCGCAATACTTTTGCGACGTTTTCAGAAGATGTGTTGCAGTTTTCGTGGCAGGCGCAGCACTTTGGACGCGTCCATCGTCATTTTTCGTGGCAGGCGCAGCACTTTAGACGCGTCCTGTGGCGTGTTTTTTGTAAATCGCATTGGCAGGGTTGCGTCAAGTGGTGACAAGGTGCAAATTCCGTGGCAGGCGTGGCATTTTCTGACATGTGCTGAAAATTGACGGAAGCCACGCACGAAACATCGATTTTGAGGTTGCAAATTTTCGGGTTCTAAGGAAAACTCGTAGGAAAACGTCGATTTTGAAGCTGCAAAGTGTGAAAAGTGGAGGAAGTCTCGCACGAAATGCTCGTTTTGGTGCTCCCACCTGTCTCTTCTCGCGTGTCTGGTTTTCCCGTGGCCTCGCCGTGTCTATGGGGGAAGCTGCAAAACTTGTCTTTTTATCTTGTCGGCAACTGTGAAAATTGCCGGAAGTCTCGCACAAAATGCTAGTTTTTCCCGAATGCGTAGCAAGGGTTCCCGTTTCACTCTGGGGGTCTGGGGGTTGAGGGTGTGTTCGCTCGACGTTGCGTTCGCGAGCGCAACCGTCCGCAACCGTTCGCAACCGTTCGCAACCGTTCGCGTGAGGACCGTATGGCCGTGCCTATGGGAAGTTCTGCAGAGGTGGTCATTTTTGGAGGTTTCAGACGTGTCGTTGCTTCGTTTCGCGTGGCAGGTGTGGCACTTCGTGACATTCAGACGTGTTTTGCAACGTGTTGACAATCGTTTTGCGTGGCAGGCGCAATACTTTTGCGACGTTTTCAGAAGATGTGTTGCAGTTTTCGTGGCAGGCGCAGCACTTTGGACGTGTCCATCGTCATTTTTCGTGGTAGGCGCACCACTTTAGACGTGTCGTGTTGCGTGTTTTCTGCAAATCGCATTGGCAGGGCTGCGTCAAGTGGTGACAAGGTGCAAATTCCGTGGCAGGCGTGGCCTTTTCTGACATGTGCTGAAAATTGACGGAAGCCTCGCACGAAACATCGATTTTGAGGTTGCAATTTTTCAGGTTCTAAGGAAAACTCGTAGGAAAACGTCGATTTTGACGCTGCAAAGTGTGAAAATTGGAGGAAGTCTCGCACGAAATGGTCGTTTTGGTGCTCCCACCTGTCTCTTCTCGCGTGTTTGGTTTTCCCGTGGCCTCGCCGTGTCTATGGGGGAAGCTGCAAAACTTGTCTTTTTGTCGTGTTGCCAACTGTGAAAATTGCCGGAAGTCTCGCACAAAATGCTGGTTTTTCTGCATCCACGTGTCTTGTCTCGAGTCGCTGGTTTTCCTGTGGCGTCGCCGTGTCTATGGGGGAAGCTGGAAAATCTGGAAAACCTGTCCTTTTGTCATGTTGCCAACTGTGAAAATTGCCGGAAATCTCGTACGAAATGCTGGTTTTTCTGCATCCACGTGTCTTGTCTCGATTCGCTGGTTTTCCTGTGGCGTCGCCGTGTCTATGGGGGAAGCTGGAAAACATGTCCTTTTCAAAGGTTTCCAAGCAGGTTGTCATGTCGTTTTGCGTGGCAGGCGTGGCACTTTGTGACATTCCAACCTGTTTGGTAACGTGTGGAAAATATCAAAATTGGAGGAAGTCTCGCACGAAATGCTCGTTTTTTTGCACCCGCGTGTCTCGTCTCGAGTCTCTGGTTTTCCTGTGGCGTCGCCGTGTCTATGGGGGAAGCTCCGCACTCCACACTCTACACTTTACACTCCACACTCCACAATTTACACTTTAGACCCCACACTCTACACTTTACACTCCACACTTTACACTTTGCACTTTACACTCCTCACTCCTCACCTGAGACTTTACACTCCACACTCCACACTTTACACTACACTCTACACTTTCCACTCCTCACTCCTCACTCTACACATTTTACACTCCACACTCCACACTCCACACTACACTTTACACTCCACACTCCACACTTTACACTACACACTCCTTACTTTACACTCCACACTTCACACTCCACACTTTCCACTCCACACTCCACACTCCACACTTTACACTCCTCACTACACTTTGCACTCCTCACTCTACACTTTACACTCGTCACTTTACACTCTACACTCCACACTCTACACTTTACACTCTACACTTCACACTCTACACTCCACACTCTACACTTTACACTCTACACTCCACACTTTACATTTTACACTCCACACTCTACACACCACACTCTACACTTTCCACTCCACATTTCGCACTCCACACTCCACACTCCACACTTTACACTTTACACTCCTCACTCCACACTCTACACTCCACACTCCCCACTTTACACACCACACTCCACACTCTACACTTTCCACTCCACACTCCGCACTCCACACTCCACACTTTACTGTGCACTCCACACTCCACACTTTATACTTTACACTCCTCACTCCACACTCCACACTTTGCACTCCTCACTTTACACTCCACACTCCACACTCTACACACCACACTCCAGACTCCACACTCTACACTTTACGCTCCGCACTCCACACTTTACACTTCACACTTTACACTCCACACTCCACACTTTACACTCAACACTCCACACTCTACACTTTACACTCCACACTCCACACTTTACACTCCTCGCTCCACACTCCACACTTTACACTCCTCACTCCACACTCCACACTTTACACTCCACACTTCACACTCCACACTTTCCACTCCACACTCCACACTTTACACTCCTCACTCCACACTTTACACTCCACACTCCACACTTTACACGCCACACTTTACACTCCACACTCTACGCTTTACACTCTACACTATACACTCCACACTGCACACTTGACGCTCCACACTCCACACTTTACACTCCACACTCTACACTTTACACTCTACACTTTACACTCTACACTCTACACTCCACACTTTACACTTTACACTGTGCACTCCTCACTCCACACTTTACACTTTACACTCTACACTTTACACTCTTCACTTTCCACTTTACACTTTACACTCCATAATCCACACTTTACACTCCACACTCTACACTTTCCACCCCACACTGCAGACTGGTAACAAGGGAAACATATACAAGACTATTCAAATATAAACTATTGCAGAAAGGTATTGTGCGTGACTGCATAACCATGTGTTTTGACATCTGTACCATTAATATACGTGTGAGCATTCGGGTTCGTGGGCTTCATCTTGTTTTAAACCAACAATCTGATAATTATGTCTATGACTGAAAGGGAATTTCATCTATAAACCGTCAAATTTTGGGCTACCAACCGTCTTCAGACCAAGCCGCTGGAAATGTGAGTGGCGGAGGTACGGAGGTCTGACTCTACGATGCAACACACGTGTTGTCCAAGGTGTGTGTGTGTGTGTGGTTGCAACACACAAAGAAATCTACACATACACATACGTCTATATTGTATATGTTATAGATGTATACATATATATATATATATGTATAACTGTATATATATATTAATAATTATATATATATTACGTATACATTACGTATACATAGTAGGGGATCCTCTGATGCAAGCATGGCGACCATAGACAATTGTCTGTGTTTATTCACCACAATTCCTGTGCCATCATGGTGTCCCAGGGGCCCACAATGCCAAGCAACGCTGAGGGACACTTGTCCAGGGGCCGTGGTGGCCGAATCTGGCATTCCGTGCGGTTTTTTTGTCTGGAGTCAGTTTCCCTGTTCAGAGTTCAGTCTGTTTTTTTACGATGTACCCTCTGGTTATTTAACATAGCCATGGAAAATCCACCAATTTTTAATAGGTAAACTAACTATAAATGGGCCATTTTCCATGGCTATGTTAAATAA